GGAAAGAGTAACCAAGGGGGAGAGAAGGAAAAGAGGAAAAGACAAAGAGGAGACAGGCCTCCCGGCCCCCGACCCGGGCCTGTGGGGTCGCCCCCCCCCGCCCAGGCACACACTGTGGGGTGGGGACAGTGGCCTCGGGCACTCCTGCTCGGGCTGCAGAAAGCAGTCGCGGGGATGAGCTGGCTGCGGTGGCACAGAGCCTGGTGTTGAAGCCAGACTGCCTGGACCAGGACTGGCCCCACCACTTCCTGCCCTGACCTTGGGCTCGTCACCAAACCTCATCTGTAGGTGGAGGCTAATAATAGAGCCCATCTCACTCGGCTACTGGGGGCACGAGGACACAATAAGAATCAGCCTTTATTATTGGGGCTAAGACCTGATGTTTTGAATACACAGTCGATGCTCAAAAGATGTGATGAATTCACAGAATGCTAGAGCTCAAAGGGGGGCTGTCAGCTGTGTAGACAAGCCACTCATCTCAGAAAGGATGTGACATGCTGAGGTCACTCGGGTGAAGGCAGAGACAGGCCTGACACCCAGGTGTCCCGACTCCCAGGTCAATGCCGCTCACTCACGCGGTGTTTGGTCAGCACTGCCGAGGTGGTGCCAGGTGCCAGTGAGGAGGCAGCCTGGGGCCCCTGGTCTAGTGGGAGAGACAGACTGGCCGGGGATGAGACGAGGCAAAGACTGAGGAGGGGCAGGGAAGGGAGGCACGTGTGCACTGAGAGTGCAGCGGGCGTGGGCTTTGTCAGGACAGTCAGCAGAGGCTCCCCGAGACAGTGACCACCGAGCTGAGAACGAGCGGGCAGGAGGGATGGGAGGTGAGGAGGAGAGAAGGAAGAGGGAACCCTCGTGCAGCCTGACAGCTTCCCCCATGCTCACATCAAAGGCAGCCTAACTTCCAGGGTTAACTGCCAGCCCGCTGTTTCAGTGTCCGGGCCAAGTTCACTTCACCAGACCACATGCTCCCAAGGGCAGCAATGACTGCACAGGGCTTGCCTGCAGGCACCCTGGGGTGCAACACAGTCCAAGGCTGGGCATGTGACAGGCCCTGGAGGGAGACCACACACCAGCAAAATCTCTCTCTGAGAAGCACTGGCCGAGGCGCGGGGGCCGGGCAGACTCTCTAGCCCCGCGGGGCCCGACGCCTCATCACAGATGTGACCCTCGCGCACCTTCTGCATCCACGGTCTCTTTCATGATGATCTCCACCCGCTCCACGTGGTGCCGGTTCCAGAGGCCATCCAGGGCCTCACGGTTCTGGTCTCGGAAAGGCAGGATCTGGGCCACCACCTGCCAGGGAAGGAGACTGGTTGTGCTGCGGGCTCCTCTCATAACAAAGAGGGGATCCTGACTCCAAGGAAGGGCCCCACCCTCTCCATCCCCTGCTCAGAGAAGACACTCTCTGGAGCAATAGTCCCTTCACAGCCCATAAGGACTTCAAAAATCTTTCAGGGACCTCCACAGGGTTACCCGCTTTTTATTTTGCCAAGAAAGAAAATATTTAAAGTTTTCTATCTTCTATTAACATTGACTTTTAATAAAAGATATTTTAATACTGAAAATGGAGGGGGAAAAGCTTCAAATTGAATATATTCAGGGTTTTTTGTTTGTTTTTTGTCATTTTCCCGTAAACAAGTGAAAACCTACCAGGAGGGGCACTGGTTTGAGGATGTGTCTTTGAAACACTGCAACTCCAAACAGGGCTGGGCGGGGGGCAATGCCTCAGCCCCAGACGGCTATGTGGTGCCCCCAGGTGGCCCGGGACCCATGTCCTGGTCAGTACCAGAGAACACAGGAGTCGATGTATTCTTTGCTGTGGTTTCTGGGAAGATGTCCCGAAGGAGCCCTGAAGGCATGCTCAGAGTGAACTGGCCAGCTGACTAGCACCACCCAGGAGGCCAGCCCCACGCTCTGCCACAGGCCTGGATGAGAAGCAAGGGCGCATGGTCCCCGTTCCATTTTAAGATCTTGCTACCAGCCTTCCGGCTCAAAACAGAACTCAGGAAGAGAAAGGTACTGAAAAAAGACAGGTGGGTGTCGAATAAGGTAGTTAACTCTTAATTCCCACAGCGTGCCCAGCTGGAAGCCAGGTCCAGGCACCAGAGTCTCGGGGCCACCTCTGTAGAGAATGCAGGGCAATGCTGAGAAATCGGAGCCCAGACCCTGGCTGGGAAACAAGAGGGTAGGACACACAAAAGAACAGGCGGCTGGACACGTGGACGGGACCAAGCAGGCCTGCCCTTGCCCCCCACCACTGTTCCTCCGTCCTCTCACCTCCTGCCCATCGGCCAGATGACCGTGGGAGCTCAGACTTCACAACGCCTTCGGGCGCAATTCCACCACTAGTGGTGTGGCCCCAGAACACTCCTCCCTGGCAGGCTCCCGGCCGAGGCTCACCTGCTTGCCCAGGTAATGGTCCACCCGGTACATCTCGTCCTCCTGGAAAAAGCTCCCGAGTTCTGTGGCCAGCTGCTGGGCCGAGCTGTGGTCATGGCCAAAGGGCTTCTCGAGGGCAACGCGCAGCCAGGCGCCAGGGCCGGGACGGCAGCTGCTGTTGATGTTGCGGGCAATGTCTGCGTAGGCGAAGGGCGGCACGGAGAAGTAGAAAACCCTGCCCACCTCCTGGAGGCCTTCGCGCTGGACCCACGCCTCGATGTCCTTGCTCAGGGCCAGGTAGTCCTCTGCGGTCTTTAGGCGGCGGTACTCGCTCAGCTGCTGGAACTGATCCTTGAGTTCAGCACAGCGAGCGGGAGCCGTGTCCTTCGGGCAGGACAGGGACTCCAGGACTTTGGCTATGACCTCCTGGCCCTGCTCGGTGGTCGTCAGAGCAGCCCCGTGGAAGCGAAAACTGTGGCCCTTCCCGGCCTCATCCAGGTACAGCTGGAACAGCCCCTGCCATAGGTATTTTCTGGCCAGGTCCCCAGTTGCTCCCAGCAGGATTACAGAGATGTGTCCCCTGGAGCTCCTGGGTGTGCAGGCAGCCCAGCAGGGCCACACACACTGCCGCTGTGAGCATCTTCCAAACACCAGGGTGCCTGGGGTACCTGGGAAAGACAGACAAGGAACAAGGAAGGATCAGACATGGCTCAGGTGATGCAATGTGCGGGAAACGCACTTCTAGGTGATCAAACATTTCCTGCCTGGCAAGAATCAGCCGCTTGTACCTCAGGAAAATGTTATAGTCCCACAGCTTCCCTCTCCCTCCTCAGCAGCTTGGCTGGCTTCTGTGCCAAGAAGCCAGTGGGTCAGGAGCCTGCCCGTGAGCAGGGGCTACGCCACTTGCTAGAGGTGGACTGTTTTGCTGCAGGAGCCTGGGAAGGCAGCACCAACCCCTAGGGAGGCCCCACGCACTGCCGTGC